CTACTTGCAAGGCATGAAATAAAAGTGAATACAGGTGACAAAAATAACCTCCGATTCTTCTCTTTAGAAGCATACAAAATAGTTACATAAACTAAACCATCTTCCTGTAAAATAACTCAAAAATTAAGAGAGCATCCCACACAAGATGTAACCATCCCATACATTAACATGCTGTTTGTATCATGTAGGCAACCAAATCAGAAATGCAAGTTACATTTTATTTTTTTATTTTTTATTTTTTTTTTTTTAAAGAATTTATTTATTTAGTTGACAGAGAGATCACAAGTAGTCAGAGAGGCAGGCAGAGAGAGAGAGGAGGAAGCAGGCTCTCCGCAGAGCAGAGCCCGATGTGGGACTCGATCCCAAGACTCTGAGATCATGACCTGAGTCAAAGGCAGAGGCTTAACCCACTGAGCCACCCAGGCACCACTGCAAGTTACATTTTAAATGGCAACTTATTTTTGCTCTACTACCAACATTTTAAAGTAGGTCTGTAAGAAGTCTTTTTGGCCTGAATTATTCTGATACTATGATGGCTCCATTTTTCTTTGCTTTATCCCTTGCTTATTCTACCTCTCCTCAATTCTTGATTCCCAGTAGCTTTTCTCACTGATCACATTAGTACCAATATCTAATTTACTTCATTCTTTGTAGACAAAATGTAACTGATGCTTCTTTAAGGTCATAGTTAGCTGATGTCCCTGAAGGTAAACCCAAATACTTTTAGTCGCATTCTATTTTCTCTTCAGTGTAAATCCAAACCATGCTTCAGGCGTGTTTTTAAAAAAAAAAAAAAAAAAAAAAGACTGACCCAGAGTAGACTGAGCTTAAGTGTCCTCACACAGTTATGTCCAAAATCTAGTCCTCTATCAGCTGCTGAAGGTCAGCTTAGGTTGCCTGAAGGCTAGGGAGCCCAGCATGGAACAATGGCAGGGAAATAGCGTTCCCTTCATTCCTTAATTCACATGCAAGTGAGGTGCCAATCAAGTGCTGACAAGCATGGAAAAACCAAAATCAAAAGTGGGTAGAGATACACTTTCAAAAGGAGCAGTTTTCACACATTTTACGTGATGTTTTTAGTGATGGTTGTGAACATATCACTAATAATATGGAAAAGGAAATAAAAGCCAGAAGAAAAATGATAATTTTATATCAGCTAAGATGATTCAATAAACTAATGAAATACATTTACTGAAATTGTTTAATGTGTTTTATAAAAAAAGCATAACACTCTCACTTTGGCTAAAGAAAGAAATCTGAATGCAAATTGATTTACTGAACACTGCAAACATGGACGGTAAGGTGAGCTGAGATTGGAAACTGGGCATTAACAAGTGAAAGCTAACTTCTTTCCGAATATAAGAAAATTTTAAGGTTGCTTGATTTTGTCAAACTATCAGCTAGAAAGACAAGAGCAAGACACTTTGAAATGACCAACAATGTAAGCAATGGAATCACTTCATTAAAGTAGCTAGTGAAAGACATGATGAAAACCTTAAAAATGTATTGTTTTTAATGACAGTTAATTTTTAAAAATGAGCTTAATTTTCAACAACTAATATAATGCAAAAGTAAGCTTCATTATTTGTAGACGTCTTTCTGAATGAATTTGGTAAATGTGTTTTAGTTATGACTACTTATTCTTTCATATATAAGAGAATTTCTAAAAACAGAAATTTAAGACTTTGTAAATGAAGGTTTAATAACTGTAAGTTTTTATATTGAATCTATTTCAGTATGCAGAAAAGACAACATTGGACAGATACATTACTTTTTAAAATTCATTACCAATTCATAAAAATAAATAGTTCTTTCCGTCTTCCCTTTTGTCTTTAATGAGTGAATGCTGGAACTGCTACCAGAGCTGTCTTAACAGCTATTTTTACAAGGATCACAGAAAGTTTAGAGCATTAAAAATTTGGGTTGTTACCATATGGTGATTATAGATGCAGTGAAAAGGATATTTTTAATATCACTTTTCTCATTATTTTAGTAAACTGTATACTGTTTTTATGAGCTTAGGTCCAAGATTTACTACCATAAAATGAGCATTGGTTTTGAAAATAAACCTCTTATTATAATAAGGAGTTTCAGGAGAAACTCAACAATTTAAAATTGTTGAGTTTCAGGAGAAACTCAACAATTTAAAATAGGATATAATCATAAATGTTCTCAGTTTTCAAAAACAACAATTAGAAAAATATGAAAGTTCCACAAATATTTTGTGCTCTAAATGTAAAAGTAATTTATTTTCAGATATCTATTAGCAGCACATTTAATATTAAACAATTATACAGAATTTTAATTTAATTAAGTGGCAAGATACATTTTATAATATGAGAATATGAGAGTGGTAGAAAAACAAACTCCATGCATTCAAACATGATACTACAAACTAAGACTGCTCCAAAAAGAAGGGGGGTGGAAAGAGATAGAGACAAAGAGAGATAGCAAGATTGCAAGAACAAGGGAGGGAATACATAAAGAGTTTTTAAGCAGGAGTAAAATTTTATGATAATTCAAAAACAGTCAAACTTGACTGAAAGGATTTAACGCCTGATGTGTACAATGTACTATTGTGACAAAATTCTAAAACATAATTTAAGATGTCCACAATTCACTTTCTTTTAAAAGTTAACATTAAAATTTTGAATCCATGTAAAACAATTTCAAGCATTACACTCATGTTAAAAAATCCTGAGAGAATAAATATTTGCCAACATTTTAAACACTGTGACTTTTCCCCAAAGAATATCAGGGAGAATAGGAAAGAACAGTATTCAACTTTCAGGAGAAAGCAAAGGTTTAAAACCATTTCAATGGTTTTGTTGTTTCTTTAACTGTGCTATCTTTTAAAAATCCTTTCAAAATTAGGTAGGAACATAATGGCCGTAAACATATTATTAATCAAGCTTTGTCAAAAATTTATGTAAAACTCCTTAGTGGTTTTAGTTATTGTTATTTGCTTAGCGGAATCTGTATTATTAGGTCAGGAACCACTTTTTCTTCATTTGCCACCATGTGTACGCCCCTAATAACATACCCCAATTAAAGTTACTTCACAAAAAGTAGCTAGTATTATGAAGTTGAGATAATCGCCATTAATATTTTCAAACCTAAACAAGGTACATTACATTAAATAGACTTCTCAGTCCTGGTGTTGCCTGACAGATATGTGATGTGCCAGTGGTTATATTATATTCCTCCTCCCATGCATGCACCTCCTGCAGAGACAGCAGACTACAGAAGCTGACCCTTACTGAGACCATCTTGTCTCTCTGACAAAGCTCCTTTTTAACTTCTTACTTACTGGTTACTTCCTGTGATGGAGAAAAACTTTAGCTCAGCTTGTGATAATTTCACAGGCCCTGAGGACCCTGACCCTAATAGCCTCAAGGTCAGAAGTCAAGTCTTGTTCTGAAACATCTGTGTGCTTTACATTAAAGTGGAACAAAAGTAGAGAAATATCCACCAGTGTGTGACAAGAAGGACAGGCAAAATAGGACTGACACACTGGTCATTTGTTACTCTGTCATCTTAAGTTCATTTAAAAAATTATCCAATATTCACTTAAATTCCAAATTTGAGGCACAAAAGGCATTTATGAACTGTCTTAGAGTAAAAAAAAAAGGGGGGGGGACTTATGTTTTATAGTAATCTGGAATTTGGGTAGTCCTGCAGGCTTTCAGATACATTTTAAGTTACTCTACAAAGCCAATGAAATTTCAAGTTTTAAGTAATTTATGGCTTACAAAGAAAATGTAAGGTACATATATATGTTATGTGTGTGTGTGTGTGTGTGTGTGTGTGTGTGTGTATAGATCTATATCTGTAGGGGCTAAAAGAACTGAAAGACAACATTCACAACTAGTATGTTAAAGAGCTATCTTAAAATATCTATTATATATTAAAATAAATAAATGCAGCAGAATTAAAAGTACTTGAGAATAATTTCTAAAAAGTGAAATCCATTTAATAAAAGATTTACTTATTTATCGATCTTAAGAGTATATAAGCATTTGTGAAGTTAGGTCAGCTAAGATATTCCCAGGTGTCATGACCAGTTTTATATCTAAATCATGTGGGTGAGCAAGAAGGTATGGGGAGGTTGAAAAGGCCATGAAAATATATTTAATTTCCACAACAAAGAGAAATGCACACCAAAGGTTTCAAACAGAAGTTAGACAACAATGCTGGTCCTGTTTTTAATGTCCATGTTAGGCTATTTGGATTTAAAATTGCCAAATGCACTTTTATCAAATTTATCACTTTATTATAGCACTGTTACTTCCCTGTAACAGAAGGTTTATGGACATGGAGGCATAAATTCTTCATCAGTGCATTTTTTGTATTGATTATATCCCATTAGCTACTCATACTGGCACAAGGTGTGTGGCACTTGTAACACTGCATATGATACAGACAAAATTTTTAAATCTTGATAATTTTTTCTATAATGTACACAACCTTAACTCCAAGAATCGGTTACTTTGAAATGCAAAGATTTTTACGGCCAAACAATGAACTCCACTTAGCAGATTAATGGAAACCTTCTAATGGTTTAAATACAAATTATATGAACTCTGATCAAGTATCAAGTACCGACTTGTGGAGATAAAAGTTAAACAAAAGAGTCTCCAATATTCAAAAGATCTCTTGAAATTTTAAACAGTTTACAAATAACACATGCTTCAATAGTTGTACATATAACACAGGAAACATAAGTATCATCAAGTCAATGAAAATGCTCTACACTATAGAAATTAAGAAGTAATATGCAAATAAGGAATAGGCAAAAAGCTTTCTGGTTAGCACTGAAAAGCTCTGCCACAATAAAATAAATAAATACACTCTTCCAAATATTATAAAACTGTTTACTCACAATATTTTGTTTTTACCCTTCTTAAAGTAATTTAAGTAATGATATCAATTAAAAGTGAGTGGGGAGGACAAACCTGTAAAGAGTTTGGGAATTAAAACAGAGTTACATGTGCACTTACCAGTTCAACGAAAGCAAGTCCTCCATAGCTGTGAGCAACAAAAAACACATTCTCAGCTGCAGACTGAGCTATGAAATGGTCCCACACATAGATTGCATGTTCTTCAGGAGAACCATTTTCCTAGAAAGAAAACAACTATCATGTATTATGCACTGTATCTAATTATTATCATAGTAATCAAAAATTAAATTATATATAGCTTAAGAAATAAGATGGTTATAGACCATTGAAAATAATATCAATACAAAAGAACTACTTCTGAAAATTCAAATTAGAGAATAAATTAAAGTATTCAAGTATTAGTAAATTATTGCTAAGCTTAATTGCTACCATGATCTTCAGAAACAAAATATTCAAAATAACCATATTTTGAGGGGAAACTGCATTCTGGTACATCTAAGATATTAAAATATTTATGTATATACTTAGGAATTGCAAAGCAGTAAGTTACAGTGGTCTTATGATAGAAGGTATAACACTAAAAAATTCAGCTACATTTCTACATTTAAATCTGAAAATATTTCTATTATAAGAAATATACTTTTAAATTATTTGATTTATAAAATTTTAAGTATCTCTATAAGCTAAAAGTAAGCAGAAAATGATTAACAAATATTTTAAGTATCTCTATAAGCTGAATATAAGCAGAAAATGACTAACAAATATTCTCTATTTAAAGTATTTAAAAATAGACGTTTTTGTAAAAGTATTTTCCATACACATTTTATTTGTAGAACTGGGAGAAATCTAAACATGTAAACCCAGGGGGTTCCATATTTCCCCTAGCCTGCTAAACCCTAATAAATGTATGCCTCTTGCTTTAATTCTAATGATTTTATAATAATTTCATTTTGTTATATTTATTTCAATAGTTGACACATGTTGTGGTTAAAGCTAAAACCTGGATAATGTGGTGGGGGGGAAGCCCCAAAGAACAAACTGATAAAAACTAAAGATCATGAAAACATTTTATACGAGCATATCTTTGAATCTTTAACACCAAAGACTAACTCCCTAAAAATGTCATGGTATTAGACAATGAAGACAATTTATTCACATTTTCCAACTTCGAAATGGTATAATATCCTATTAAGGTCCAAAACATGACTTCCCTTGCCGCCTAGAAGCTATTGTTCCCTCGTGTCTAGTTCTATCGCAAATTTTTCTTCAATGTTTCAAACCCATATATCTAAGTGCTTGATAGTCATTTACTTCTTGATGTCCCACAGATATTTCAACCTCAACCAGTTCAACACTGCACTAGAAATATCCTCTACAAACCTAAGTCACCACCTTTGCTCCCCACTTCCAGGCAATATCTGGGCGTCTTTTATTGTTCTCTTGCTCAAATTCTACATATAATCAATCATTAAAATCTCACTGATTTTGTCCCCAGCTGTATCCTAAATCCGACCACTTCTCTCTGTTCTCATTCCCTCTGGCTTAGCTCAAACCATTATCATTTCACAAGTGAATGACTACAATGGTTCCCAGCCCATTTTTACTGCCTTTAGGATTGCCCATGTAAATGTCCTAATTCTGTAGCAGGAAAGAACTTCTAAGAATGCAAATATGAACATGCTGCCAAGTTACTCACTTCTTATTAGATGCTTCAAAGCGGAATCATTGCCCTCAAGATTGAGTTCAAACTTAATAAGACATTTAAGACCTTTCATAATCTGGCTTCAACCTTTAACTGCATCTCTTACTGCTCTGCAATATAAGGTGATCCAAAAGACACCCTTTTCCCCTAGCAGGAGATCACAGAGAACACCCTCTGTGTTCTAACTGCAGGGAACAACTTCCAGTAACCTAATTGTGCCAAACTTTCTTTTCTCTGTGCTATTTCCTTTGTTTAGAAAGTGAGTCCTGTGCTCTGCCCTCACTTCACCCTGCATAATTCCTACTTCTTCTTCAAACTAAAACAAGACATCGACTTCTGTCAAAAGTCTTCCCTATCACCCCCAAGGCTGGGTAATGTCCTACAACATCTTGTGCATGCTCCCATTATAATGAATAATTTGTATTGTAATTGCTCGTTAGACTATCAAAGTCTTGAGGCCAAGAGTTCTCCCTTGTTCATTAAATCATTAAATTAGTGTAATAAATAAATGATGAAAATACAACATTTATCTTCAGGATGACTGCTTACAACCTTGTAGTCATATACTAAAATACAAATATTTTAAAGAAACCTATTAATAACATACATATGAAATTACCCACAGTTAAAGTATATAAAATAAATAAAAGAAGGATAATTGGAAAGAAATCCATGTAGGGTATTTTTGGCTTTAATAATTTAGCTTCCATTAGTTTAAAAAGTAGGAAATGGTTATCAGCATAGTGGTTAACTCTAAGGACGAGAGACAGAGTTATGAACAGGAAATAGACTTCTACTGGCTGGCAGTGTTGCATCTCTTGACTGGAGTAGTAGTTACACAGATGTATTCTTTAAAGTTACAGTCAAACCGACTAATACAAACTTAGCACTTTTCTGTACATGTATGTAGAGAGACCACAGAATTTACTATACCAACTTTTAAGAGTGAAGAAAGGTACTATTAGTTATTGTATGAGAAGAACAAGTCTAAACTGGGATTAGCCAGAGAAAATGCACACATCTGGTCACCCTAATTGTATCTTACAAAGAAAGAAATGTAAAAATAAAACAGGAAGACAGATAACAGAAGTTCCACCTGCTGACAGGAGGCAGAACTAACTAGCTTACATAACTTGATGTATCTAAACATCTTTCTTTATATGGAGAGAATAAAAATATAGAGGAGATTACTCTGTTCCCATTAGGCTTTGTGCTAGTAGTAAAGATGTAAGGATGATGAAAAGTAAGCCATGATTCTGGCCTTTAATGTGTTTGTAATTTTATAAGAATGTTAACACTTAAAGTTATAAGGCAGACTGTCTCGACAACCAGTCCAATGGACTTATAATAAATCCATACTATCTGACCTCAGTGAGGTCCTCTCTGCTTTCCTCTCATAGTTACCAATTCTTCCTTGACACTGTTGAGACCCAATCTGTCCCATCCTTTCCATTCCCAGATCACTTTGGGTCCTCCTACAAGATGTCTAACTACTCTCATTTCTAGTAGATTTTTCCCTTTACTGTGTTGCCAGATCTATCTTTTGGAAGCCTGACCCCGATCAACCACTCTCCAGCCCAAAAAGCCATTTACTGAACTGGTCCCCAATGTGTACAAAATAACTGGAACTCTTAGCCAACGTCTTCTCTAAATTTACCTTTCAAGCCTTCCTTCTCACTATTTCCAGGAACCTTATTCATACTTCAGGAAGATCTGGGTTACACATTAATACAGATGGTTACCAACTTACAATGGTTTGATGTAATGATTTTTTTTTTTTTTAACTTTACGATGGTATGAAAAAATACGTATTCAGTAGAAACTATACTCCAAATTTTGAATTTTCTATCTTTTTCTCAGCTAGCAATCTGTAGTACAATACTCTGTCATGATGCTGGGTAGTGGCAGTGAGCCACAGCTCTGTTGGCCACACAATCACTAGGGTAAATAACCAATACACTCAACAACCATTCTTTATCTATACAACCTTCCTGTTTTTCACTTTCAGTACAGTATTCAAAAAATTACACTTTACTATAAAATATAAAACATATACATACATTTATAAAATTATAAAAAAGCTTTGTATTACATGATTTTGCCCAACTCTAAGTTAACTTAAGTATCCTGACCATGTTTAAAGTGGATAAGGCTAAGCTATGATGTTCCGTAGCTTAGGTACATTAAATGCATTTTTGATTTACAACATTTTCAACTTACAGTAGGGTTTACTGAGATATAACTCAACTGTATGTCTCAGAAGAGCTTAGTCTGAAAATCCTAGACAAAGCTCTACCATGAAATTCAGTCTGGGATCTCACGGTGCAGCTCAGATTAGGCAAAACTTAAAAACAGAGAACACATCCTAGGTAGTAAGCAGTTCAGTAATTCATAAATGAAGTGATAAAGACTATAAATACTACTCAGGGTGACAGCAGAGTGAATGGAAAAGAAGGGACAGAATGAGTCATTATAAAGGAAGAATCAGCAAAACTTTGTGACTCATAGGATATGAGGGAAATTGCCAATGAGGCCCAAAGGACCCATCTGTGAGTAATGGACAGCTAAGAACCAACAGTTCTTTCCACCATTCACAAATAAGACTACTGTTTTCAGAGATTAGTATCATAGCTGAGTCTTTCCCTCAACATCTATGGAGTGAATACCTGTTAAGAGTGGCCTGTCAGCAGTAAGAAAAAGAAAGCTCAAGTATCCATGTGCCCCAAGTGCTTAAAAATTTTCAGCCTGATTTTAAGGTTATCATATTACTCTCTAGCTTTAGATTTTAAAACCAACTGTTCTAAGAACTGAGATGCAACTGAAAAAAATGCCTACAATACCCAGTTAAGAGGGACCATCTATGGTCACGACTAAATAATTACACAAGACTATTCTGAACCACACCTGCCATTTATCGACCCCAGGGAAGGACCAGCCATTCCTTTTTAGTGGGAGCCTTGTAGCAGCTCCTGTAGCAGACCAGACAGCCTTCTGAGAGTTACTGTCTTTGGACCATGGAATATTAGTTTGGTAGGGAGTCAGACTCACCTTAGGCAGATGCAAGAGTTATCCTGCCTTAGAAGTCTTATATCACACAGAAACTAATAACCTCTTCCAAGCACAGGCTTCCAGGATCCCTGCCTGTAAGGGACATGCCCAATTACAAGAGTTATTAGCCTCAGGGAAGATCAAAGCTTTGGTATTTATAATCCATTATAATTTCCTCTAATTCAGAAGCAGTTTATCAATCAGGGGTCGTTTTCTACCATAGGCAATGTTCCCTAGCAACTGTGCACTTACTGTAGATGCTACAGTATGCTTCCAAGAATCCCCTTAGTTATACAGTACTCATTTCCAGAGTTGTTGCAAGTGTTAGCAGCTGATAGCTTTAGATGAGGCATACTCTAGGAACTGCTCTCAGCCAAAGAAAGTTATCTAGCTTGAAGTTACAATCCCATCTCTGAGGCAACTTACACCCCATGATGGGTCAAAATGACATGGATCTTATGTAAAGGCT